AAAAACATAACATACAGGGATATAATTTCTAATTAGTTAGGTAATAGCTGCTTGATCAAATGAGACATCTGACTGCTATTTTGGGGTCAAGAAGGAATTTTTTCCTAGTTTGTGGCAAAATTGGAAGCGTTTCAAACTAGGTTTTTTGCCTTCTTTTGGATCAACAGCAAAAACATATGTGAGGAAGGCTGAACTTGATGGACGCAAGTCTCTTTTCAGCTATGTAACTATGTAACTATCAGGAAACCTAGAAACATAGAATGTGACGGCAGATAAGAACCAGTCTGCCCAATTTACTAAATACTTTCAGTAGTCCCTGGCCTTATCTTATAGTTAGGATAGCCTTATGCCTATCCCACGCATGCTTAAACTCCTTTACTGTGTTAACCTCTACCACTTCGGCTGGAAGGCTATTCCATGCATCCACTACCCTCTCAGTAACGTAATACTTCCTGAGATTATTTTTAAACCTTTGCCCCTCTAATTTAAGATTATGTCCTCTTGTTATGGTAGTTTTTCTTCTTTTAAATATAGTCTCCTCCTTTACTGTGTTGATTTCCTTTATGTATTTAAAGGATCACTATAGGGTCAGGAACACAAACATGTATTCCTAACCCTATAGTGTTAACACCACCATCTAGCCCCCCTGGGCCCCTCATGCCTCCATAAATATAGCAAAATCTTACTGTAGTCAAGCCTAAAGCTGTAACTCTGCATGGTGTTAGACTCAGAAAAACAAGCAGTCTGCTGACATCATCAGAAGTAGTGGCCTGACCCAATCACAATGCTTCCCTATAGGTTTGGCTGAGACTGACAAGGAAGCAGATCAGGGGCAGAGCCAGCATGATTCAAACACAGCCCTGGCCAATCAGCATCTCCTCATAGAGATGAATTGAATCAATGAATCTCTATGAGGAAAGTTCAGTGTCTGCATACAGAGTGAGGAGACACTGACTGTTTGGATGCATTTTAGGCAGCCATGACCCAGGAAGGATCTCTAACAGCTATCTGAGGAGTGGCCAGTGAAGTTATCACTAGGCTGCAATGTAAACACTGCATTTTCTCTGAAAGGACAGTGTTTACAGCAAAAAGCATAAAGGGTATGATTCTACTCACCAGAACAAATGCAATAAGCTGTAGTTGTTCTGGTGACTATAGTGTCCCTTTAAATGTTTCCATCATATCACCCCTGTCTCGTCTTTCCTCCAAGCTATACATGTTAAGTTCTTTTAACCTTTCCTTGTAAGTTTTATCCTACAATCAGTTTAGTAGCCCTTCTCTGAACTCTCTCTAAAGTATCAATATTCTTCTGGAGATTCGGTCTACAGTACTGCGTACAATTTTCCAAGTGAGGTCTCACCAGTGTTCTGTACAATGGCATGAGCACTTCCCTCTTTATACTGCTAATACCTCTCCCTATCCAACCAAGCATTCTGCTAGCATTTCCTGGTGCTCTATTACATTGTCTGCCTACCTTCAAATCACTTGCCTGACATAAAGAAAGAATGTAAAGTAGAAAAACATATACTAGATGAGTTATGCATTGAGGGACACCATAACCTCTTCAGTTTATTGTAGTGGTTATGAAGTAAAGAGGCTTTGGGAGCCATGGTTTGTGTTAAACTATTTGAGAGCAGATTGACAAAACACAGGGTTCTCCAATACCTAAAAAATGACAACTCTGCAAATGCGTATACTTAAAGATACCGTTTGCTGGTGGCTTTTGCAGTTAAGAGACAGGCCCCTACCTGCAGGGAGCAAACACATTGTTTTACTTAACTTTTCTCCCTCACAGCCCCAATCTCTGTGGCTGGACCCACCTCCTTGGCTGCAATTAACATGGAGATTGATAATTTCAGCCAATCCAAATCTTTCACATAGGAAAGCATTGGGAGGACTGAGCACATGCATTACAAAAATGCCACTTTGCACCAATCAGATGGTCTCTCTGAGGCCATCTGATTCAAATAGCAGCGTTGTACTCTTATTTGTGCAGAAGCACCTCTAGACAGCAACTAAAGGTACTTAAACCCTGCAATGAAAACATTGCTTCTGCGGGACAGCAATCAGCTACATGGTTAAAACTGGTTTAGATATGGCACTCAGACCCCTTCATTGAGCCTATAGTGGCTCTTTAAATATCACTGATGTAAAGAGGAGCATTTCTGCTTATCCAAAGATGCATTGCATTTAACTACTTAACTAGTTATAGCGTTTAGTTTAATGTATGATTTGAAAAGTATATTGTTATTAGATGAAGTAGAAGGCGGCTAGGTGCTGTGTTGTTTTAGCTAGTCTTTACTTTCTATTGTTGTCAGCCAAGTTATTTTACGTATTCAAACATTGTAGAGTGAGTTACAGCTTCGGGTGCTCAATACGTACATATTTTATTCACAGTTCATCAGTAATGCTTGGTATATGTGATCCTGTTTTGATTTAATGCTTCAGTTTTTCTTAAGCTCATGCAATGAGTTAGTTAATATGTAAAGGAATAACACCATTCATGTTTGTAAACACAAGCAATCCTACAAAATGCTTCATATAGTTATTTTAATGAAAGCAAGGCAGAACCACAATTACTGTGCTTCCACACCCTCTGATTTTCATTGCATTCTTTCCATTTCACTCATATACAGCTTTTTGCTGGGTGGATGAGCCGCAAACTCCTGTGGGATGTAATATCTGAGTGTTTCAGACATTTTGTGCAAAGAGGAAGGGGGGCAGAAAGTAATCATTCAGCTTCAACAATTAACCTACCAACAACAGGGCCCTTAGTGGCACATCAATAATCCATTATAACAGAGACCCATCTATAATGCACAAATGGACTGGCCCAGGGATACATGGAGGAGGAGAAAATGAGTGCCCCAACAACTGATTAAACATACATTCGATTGTGGTCAGCAGACCCCATCCGTCTTGCAATAAACGCAAAAAGAGCTTGATTCTGTCTTCCATCGGCTTCTGTCCCATGGCTCGTTAGCACAGGGAAGAGTACTGGAAACTTAACAAGATATCGGCTGAAGTCTGGTAAGTATCATCAGCTACACATCAGTGCTCAGAGCCCTGCAGCTGTTTCATAAGACAAAAATATATTTTATTTAACCATTTCCATACTCAAGTGCTCTAATAAGCTAGGATTTCCAAATAATGTATATTTAAAAGTCTAGAATCTTATCTTTTTTGAACTTTATAGATTGTGACATTTGAAATAAATTACTCAAATTAGTTTCTCAACAAATTAAATAAAGGCAATGCCACAGACCCTATGTTCACAAATACAACTTATTTAAAGCTAACTAGGGATTTGCCTAAAACACCACAAAGTGTGAGTGGCATGATGCAAGACAAATGGCAAAAGTTCATTACGGACACCAAAATTACTAATTAGGTTAACCAGCATTTGTAACCACTCAATTAGGTTGGACAATAAGTTTAAACAAAATGCAAACTTAAACCTTAAATCACAAACCTTAATCTTTCTCTATTGTATAACAGTCATTTTGATATTTTTAAAATGAATAAAGAAGAAAGGTTGGAATAAATGAGGCAGTGCATGTATATTTTTGAGATAACTCCATTGTAGTTTGAAACGTTTCACCCCAATATGGTCTACTCAATAAAGTGGCTTTGCCAGTTTTATATTTTTTCCGAGAAGATATAATTTTTCTTAAGACAAATTAAGGACTACTTTAGCTTATGAATAAGATGTTGTTCTTTTTTTTTATTTTTTTATTGTGATAGTGGGCACTGGGCAGAACTTCTTTGCCCCATCATGCCATATCAGCTTGGAAAAGGTATCCTCTCTCAAAATGTGCAATAAATACGTTTGTCATTGTATTGAACTTAACTGTCTACAGAATATACTGCAACCTCGTACATATGTAATAATGCTATATTAATGTCCCTCCAGAAAGGATGAAGCCACCAGCAGCTAAAGATTGTGACCAAGGAGAAAATGGTAGCACCAAGGAGAGGGAGGTTCTGGAAAGTGATTCTATCTTTCTCCTCTCTGCCCCATAAGCACTTGAGGGATATGTGCAAGAGTATCCAACCACTCTAAACTGGGTTTTTCAAATCACCATGTTTTGCAGTAAATGCAGGAATGTATTATGCTGTTATGCTGTTCACTCCTTATTGTAAGCAGCCCTCAAATGCTGTGGAGTTATTAATGGCTCCACTATTTCATGGCAATCCGGCGAATCTATAACAAACTGGCTACTACACATTGAAATGTCTATAAAATCAATATGAAGTTAATGAAAAAGGAATGGATGATTGGTATTTAAATATGGGCACGGCAGAGCATTTAATCTATTAAGAAAAAGAAATGAAGATAAAGAAGGGAGCTAAACCAACAGTAGGATAATTGATTAAATGCTATGCTTGCTCTTATATTAAAAATAAAATGTATTCTGTATACCTATTAAATCAAAAAGAAAGCATAATAAAAAGCAGAGTGACTGCCCTAGAATGCAGGGTACATTAATGTAAACACAGGATTTGATACATTACTTAACTAGGTATGATGTAAATATTATATATGTATTAACGTTATGAATTTAGCATATCAAAATCTGCTTCAGAAATTATCTGTTGGTTGTTGATATATGCAAAATAAAAAGTTAAAGAAAATCATATGTAAAATATAAATAAAAGTGTTTCGATTACCTAGACGTGAAGATTCTAATAGCGATAAGGGACCATTAGAAATATATCATTAAAGAAGCATAATCATACAGTAAAACAAAGGAATAAAAGGAGCTGAGAAGATAGGCTTGAAATCCCACTCAACATCATATTATCTTCGTTTGTGTATGAATGTTTCAGTTGTCCTATGAATCAACTAAATTAGAGCATCATATAAGTGTATATAATGGGAGGCACCTGGTTTAGGTTCTACAGACTTACATGCAAAGTCATCCCTGCCAACTGTGGGGATTAAAGTAGGAATTGTATGCGTTGTAAAATCAGAAATGCACGTTATAATTTTAATGAATGCATTTTCTTGCAAAACAAATAATTTTGCAGCCTCAGGCTGAAATTGATTATATACAAATATAAAAATACACAACTGTTTGTGACTACGTAATCACATTAGAGGCCAAGAATATAATAGAATGCTCAGGGGTGTATCACTAAACAGTAAGTAGTGGTTGTATGAAAACCAGTTTAGCACGAACAGATAAGAATAAGACTGTATTCGTATTAATAACTAAGCTATATCTTCCTTTATTTTGCAAATCTGTGC